CACGCCCTTTAATCCCCAGTTAAGCTGTGTCGGAGTCCTGGCGCAGCCTCTTGGTCTCTCTTATCCTATCAAGCCAAGTGGACAGTAGAGTAGCTTGGATGGGTAAATTCATACTGAAAATATATTTGCTGTACTTATGGACTAGTATTTAATAGAAGTTTGGGGTGATAGAGAAGATAACACATGGGAAGCTAATATTTATCTACATTGTGTTTTTAAAGACTCTAAATTGAGACTTTTTCTTCTGAAAGCTCTAAAGTTGATTATCAGGCCGATATCTGAGTCATTTGAATTGTGTAGCTATAAAGCTGGAGACGACAGTGCTTGGGAGCTTAGTCTTGGGTTGACTAGAGATTTCTACCCTGGAAAGTAGAACCTATCCCAGTGAACAACAGTTAATAGGCAATACTAGACAAAGGGTAGATTGGCTAGAGAATACTTTTTTTTTTTTTTTTTGAGATGGGATTTGATTTGAAAACTTGGTACTGAGAATTTTCTAGTAAAACTTGTCTCAGGTTTGAGACAGGGTGTCACGATGTAGCCCCGGCTGCCCTGGAATTCTGTAGGTAGACCAGGCTGACGTCAGAATCAGCGATTGGCCTGCCTCTGTCTCAGGGTACTGTAATTGAAGGTGTGCACTAGCAGCCTCAGCCTTTTCTGCTTCACTTTTTTGAGGCAGTGTCTTACCTATGCAAGGCTGGTCTTCCAACTCCATGGGGAGCTGAGGATGATCTTGAATTCATATCTTTCTGTCTTCACATCCCAAGTGCTGTGGTTACTGACAGGTACTACCATGCCCAGTTTATATGGTGCTTGGGATTTGAATGACTCTTAAGGACTCCTTGCTAAGAAGCACTCTACCTACTGAGCTGTTCCTCTTCTGACAATGATCATGGTTCTAAATATTGCATTAAAGTCTTTTTGTTTTGGTTTTTTGAGAGAGGGTTTCTCTGTATTGCTTTGGAACCTGTCCTGGAACTAGCTCTGTAGACCAAGCTGGTCTCGAACTCACAGAAATCCGCCTGGGATCAAAGGCGTGCGCCACCCACCAACACCCGGCTAAAAGTCATTTTTTTATTGACCAACTCAGAAATATAAAAAGTGATAATTTTAATACCAAAAAGTCATTTTTATATGTTCATTAAAATCAGAATGCATTATTTCTCTTGTAATTATTATTTCATATTAATATTGGAAACAGTGAGTGAACATATGACAAACGAGGGTATTATAATTTACTAAATCTTATCTCTTGCGGCTACAGATACGGCTCATTGGTTGAGTGCTTTCTGCTCTTGCAGTGAGCCCCGGGTTTGGTTCTCAGAACCTACTTGGCAGCTCACAACACTTACTTAACTCTAGTTCTAGAGCATCCAGTGCTCTCTGTGGGTTCTGTACATGGTCACACACACATAAAAAGAAATTCATCTTAGTAATGAGACATTAGAATTTGGGGACACTGAGATGACCTATAAAGCACTTAGTTGTGCAAAGGACTTGGGATATAGTTTTGAGTGCAGCACATACAAGTCATATTTAAATCTCAGTTTTTGCTATGAGTGGTGCATAGTAATGACTTAAGCTTCTAGATCACACCAGTTTTGGTGACATCACCCCCTCCCCAGTCTCTGGTGACACTATTTTGTGTTCAAGGATCACATTCTTGTTTATGGAAAATAAAGAAGTCTGAGTATAAGGGGAGTAGAAATAGTATAGCTGACAGTGGGATTGGAGCAGGCACACTTGACTTCAGTTAGACTATCGACTCCCTGTGAACATCCTTGAAGGATACTGGCTTTTCATTTGGAATTTGTTAAACTTGTAACTCATTCTTTGACCAGGGGCCAGTTATTTACTAGAAGTGTAAATTATTAGATGGATGTGTTGACTAATGGCTTTAATTCTAGGACTAGAAAGGCTGAGAATTTTTTGTTACGTTGCTAGGGAGTGAACCCAGGTCCTTCTTGCTAGGCAGGCATTCTATGAATGAGTTACATTCCCTACGCCTGACAGACAAGATGATTTAAATATGGTATTCCAGGACAGTGAGATGGTTCAGACAGTAAAACTGCTTTTGTAGGTACGATTATAGATAAGGTTAGAGGGTTTGGATTAGGTGCCTTAATTTTTTTTTTTAAGGGAAAACAAGTTCCTATATTTGAGAGTAAGCTGTGGTTAATAGATATCAGTATGAAAACACTTAATCTGTAGTTAACCTCTTTATCTAAGGCATCATTTTGCTTTTGTCTAAGTTATGATGACTTAATCACCAGTTTTTGGTTTCAAAGAGATTGGAACTTTATTCTAGGTGATAATAAGAGTAAGGGTATATGCTTAAAATAGTATTGGTAACTTTTTTTTTCTTTGAAGTACTGGGATTCCAAACTAAGAACTTCACACATGTTAGGCTCTTATCATTGAGCATATATCTCTCTAGCCTGCACACCTGTTCCAAGATCTTAACATGATACTGAAAATTCAATCACTTCCTTCCTCATAGTTACCAAAAAGTTATCTCATGCATTAGTTCCTTAGTCAACACATAATTGAATGTTTTTCATGGAGGGTATATAAATATGAAAAAATGAACAAGATAGAATTTCAAGTGATAGTAATTATTTACAAAAGTAGCATGAAGTGATGAGTTACAAGTTGGGGTCCATGCATTTAGATAGAGTGGCTAGTAAAAGATCTGAAGAAAGAAGTTTCTATTCTAAATAGCTAGGGATTATAAAAACCAGTCTTTATCTGGAGGGCTAATCAAGCAAACTGAGAATGTAGTGAGAACCTGGTTGGGTAGATTGTTAGGACATGAAGAAGTTTGAATATACCCACAAAGTCAAAACTATGTAGGTTTGATTAGCTTGAAACTTGCAATGTAGACCAGGCTGGCATTGAACTTGCAGAGACTCAACCTTCTCTGCCTCTCATGTACTGGTATTGCCTAGTCAACTAATAGATGTCAAAAACCAAGGAGATGGTTTCGATGTGGGGGTTGGTCATAGGGTGAGGTCTGGTGGTCTTAATGTCTGCATAGTGGCATGAATTATGATCCTTGAATTATTACTAGTCTCTACCTTCAAACCTATAGAGATTCTAGTTTAGTGAATAAATTGGTCTTGTATGCTATTGCAAGTTTTTTCAGGGATTTTGGCATAAGAAAACCTAGAAGATTAAACTGAGAAAAGGATTTCTATACTATATGCGTTTGTGGGTACATAGGAGTTGTGGTAAGGTAGTGTTAGACCTCCTCAGAAAGGTTCAGTGAAGGACAGTAGAATTGATTATATTGATTACTGACCTCAGGTGGCCTTTACTTAGTCTCAAGTACATCAAAGTGAAATGAACCATCAATAATGATGTCATTTTGATTTTTTTTTTTGGGGGGGAGAGGGCTTTCCTGTGTAGCCCTGGCTGGCCTAGAACTCAGTCTGTTCTAGGTTGCCCTAGAACTCACCTGGCTCTGTCTCCCAATTGCTGGGATTAAAGTCATGATGAGGTTTGTTTGTTTGTTTGTTTGTTTGTTTTTTAACATTCCAATCCCAGTTCCCTTTCTGTCCTCTCCTGTTCCCCTCACTTCCACATTTTATGTCCCATCTGCTCCTCAGAGATGGTAAGGTTTCTCCCCTAGAAAGGTACTCTGTCCGTCCCATCATTTCCTTGAGGCAGGTATATTTTAACTTTTTAAAGACACCTTTTCCATATTTAAATTATTGGCTAGTTTTCTGCTACTGAGTTAGGCTTATTTTCTGTTTTCTTTTTGTTTTAAGGTGTGTGAGTGTGTGTGTGTGTGTGTTGGGTTGTAGTATGCTGTTTGTGTTATTTCACTCCTGATCATTCTGCTGTCATGAAGTTCCCCTGCTTTCTGCCTATTCACGTTTGAGTTATCCATTCAGCACTTTTCCCTTTTATCCCCATCTTCAAAATCTGCTTTGCAAAGGGTCATAACTAAAGTTGCTTGCTCATTGAGTATGGGATTATATGAAGCAGCCAGTGGGTGAGAAAAATGTGATGAGGGATTGGACCCTGTGAAGAATGTTCGTTTGTACTTACCGCTGATTGTGACAAAGTCTTTTTTCTTCTAAGGTCAGTTCTAGGGAGTTTAAACTTAAAGCTCTGGTTAATGGCACCCAATAAAACCAAACAAAACCAAACTTTTGCTGTTCCCGTTTTTGTGCTTTTGTTTTTGTTGCTGTTTTTTTTTTTTTTTTTTTTTTCCCTCTTGGTGGGGTGAGGTTGGGGTGGGAGGGTCAGTTTTCATGTTTGCACACCTTTTCGGGTGGTGGGAGGCTAGCGGGATCTTTAACTCCATCCAGTGCCCCATCAGTCTCTGGCAGCTCATTTCTGGGTCAGTACACCGTAATTGAAGCTGGATCTACGGACTGTTTGAGAGTTCTTCATCCGCCTGGTTTTAGTTTCTAGGTAGCTATGGGACTCAGGAGGGCTAAAGTGGAAATTGCCCAAAGTGGAGGTTGATTTTCAGTAGGGGCGGGTGCTTGGCTATTTATTGCCGGAGGTCTATGTAGGCTGGACCGAGGTCTGTGTAAACTGGACGGATGCAATATCCATGATGCGGGGTGTAGTGATGTTCAGTTGAGAAGATATGCGAGATCTTGGAATAGAGGACTGAATACTGTTAGGGTGTGCACGTGGAAATGGTGGAATATGAAAGTTTAACGAAGTTGAGGCCATGAAGCTTCTAACTGCTACACTGAGGCTTTTGCTTATTCTGCCTAATGGCGGGCCGCACTTCGAAGAAATCCACGTTTGTAGCTCCTCCCGCACATGGACCTTTTGCCCAATCAGTGGCTTCGGTTTCACTAGGCTGGGTGCTCATTGGCTTTGGTATAAAAGCTCCGGATTACTGACGTTTCCACCTCTTCCTGGCCTCTCAGGTAATTGGCGTTCGCGGTAACCAATCAGGAAGAGGATCGCCGGGAACGCCCGCCTTTTACTTTACCGAACGTCCAATCCGGTGGTAGGTTCGCCCCCCTTCTTCTACCCAGAGTCACTGCTGTGGCCGCCGCCATTTTAGCATTTTGTCAGAATCTTCCGTGCTGCGAGTAGGAGGATCTGCAGATTTCCATGTGGTGAGAGACTCCAAGTCCTCCTACTGTGTTCTTTGCACTGTTAAAACTTAACTGACTCCCTTGGGCGTCAGGGTTGTCAGTTGGGTCGCGGCCTGCGCACCCGTTACTGAGAGCCGACCTCGGTCCTCGACTTGTGCGGTAAGCCTGAAGCAGCCCTTCCCCAAGTCCCCCCCTCCCCCCAATCCCTGGAATACCTTCCTTTTGTCCACGTTATCTTTTAGTTTGTTCACTTTCCTATTTAGGATTTTTTTGCCTAGATAACTACTAGATTTAGAGATGAGAATTTCTCATGCCTCAGGCAGGGCGTTGTTGCCTCATGAACTAATCTATAGCACCCATCTTTGACCAGGCAGTTTTTCTTAATGTTTTCTTAATGTAGGAGCTTCATTGTAATGATATGTCTCCCAAAAGGATTTTCCCTACGTGGGCACTTTTCTGTATTTACCATACTTTTTATCTGGTTGATCCCAGTGTTCACTATTCCTAAGGAAACCCCTAAACTTAGCTACTGCAAGGTCCCCGTTCCCAGAGACTGTTGCTAAGAAAGGAAGAGCTAATTAGCAAAGAGGTTAGGATTTTGTTTTCTAATGGTCATCATAGTGGGCTGAAATGCTCAGTATATGTAGCTTTCATTTATACTCAACTTCCAGCCCTATTTTCCTCTTTGTCTGGGCCAGGGGATGTAGCCCAGCGGCAGAGCTCTTGCATATAATGTACTGTGCTGTATTGTAGTGTGATGCCCAGCACCACAAAATCTCTATTGTTTACAAAAGACTGCCCTGTAAGAGAACTCTTTTTTTTTTTTTTTTTGTGAGAAGTTTTATTACAAAGGGAAGAGAGGAAGAGAAAAGAGGTAAAGAGACAAAAAGACAGAGAGGACAGAAGAGAAGAGGGGGACAGGAGAAGTCCTGTCTGCCCCAGGGGAACAGAGGGAAAGAGAGCAGAAAGAGCTAGAGAACTCTTTAGTAGAAGCTCTTGTTGAACTCCGTGTTGGTTATTGTTTGAAGATGTGAACGTAGGCACTCCCAATGAGAGCATTTTTGGCATTATATGCTAGAGAAAAAAGAGGTAATAGCAGTGACCTATTTATGTATCTATCTAATCTAAACTGTCTGGTAGTTACTATGGATTTAGGTCTTCCGTTAAAAATCTTGTCATTTACTTGCAGGCTGTGTGGAGATGGTGAAGCTGTTCATTGGAAATCTGCCCCGGGAGGCCACAGAGCAAGAGATCCGCTCACTCTTCGAGCAGTACGGGAAGGTGCTGGAATGTGACATCATTAAGAACTATGGCTTTGTGCACATAGAGGACAAGACGGCCGCTGAGGATGCCATACGCAACCTGCACCACTACAAGCTGCACGGAGTGAACATCAATGTGGAAGCCAGCAAGAATAAGAGCAAAGCTTCAACCAAGTTACATGTGGGCAACATCAGTCCCACTTGTACCAACCAAGAGCTTCGGGCCAAGTTTGAGGAGTATGGCCCAGTCATCGAATGTGACATCGTGAAAGATTATGCCTTTGTACACATGGAGCGGGCAGAGGATGCAGTGGAGGCCATCAGGGGCCTTGACAACACAGAGTTTCAAGGTGAACCACTCTCTTTTGGTGGTAGAGAGCTCAACACAATGTTATTAGGAAGAAATTGGATTAGTAAAGAAAGGGTTTGGGATAGAAAGCTTTTTGCTGGCTGATGAAGGCGGGATGGTGCATTTCTTCAGCAAACATTTTTTGTTTATTTTGTGTGTATGAATGTCATAGCATGCATATGGAGATCAGAGGACAACTTGTGGGGAGGGTCTGTTCTCTTTTTACCTTGTGGGTCCCAGGTGGTTAGTGAGCCTAAGAAGTCAGATGACAAAGGCTTTTTTTTACTCCCTGAGTCAAGTCCATTGACCCTCAAAGCCTTCAGAAAACAGTGCAAGAAATGGGTGATGAATTTCTTAAAAATGGAGAATGGTGATTTGGAGGGAAAGAAAACAGTTGATTTTCATTTGTAGCTTTTAAGGCATTTGAGTCTGTTGTGAAATCCTTTCTCTCTGTCCGGCAGTGGTGGTGCATGCCTCTTTAATCCCAACACTCAGGAGGCAGAGGCAGGCCAATCTGAGTTCCAGGCCAGCCTGGTCTATAGAATGAGTTCCAGGACAGCCAGGACTGTTTCACAGATAAACCCTGAAAGGGGGGAGGGAGTGTGTGAGATCATTTCTCTGATGCCTTTATCTTCTTTTTCCCTCTTTTACAGAGAAAAGTGCTTTACTCTGATTTTTATTGGCTCAACAGAGCATCACCATTGTGTTGCTTTCAATAGAGGAAAATCCAGAGAAAGCAATATGTCAGAGGCAGAATATGGGTTATTTGGGTTAAGCTTCCATTCTGTCCCATTTCTTTACAGTAAAAATAACGAGCTTTTGAAAGGCTGTGGGCTCTAGTTAATTTTGTTTTGCATCTGTGCCAAGGAGTTACATTTTGAAAAACACTTAGAATCAGAAGACTGATTTTAAGAATCTAGGGGAGGAGGTATTGGGATTTGGAACAATAATGGCAATGTCCTTCAGTCAGTTTCATGTGAATGAATGGGTAGATTGGCTTAGATTGGCGGGCAGGGTAGTTTGGGTGTTATCAGGAAGCCCTGGTTAGCTGAATTGTTTTTGTGCCCTGAGGGCAGCTTGGATGTTGATGGGGACTATCAGTTGATTTGGGAGATTTAGTTTTATTTTAAGATCAAAACTTTTGTCAATAGTGGCATTTAGAAGACTGTTGAATTTGCCAGCTGAACTTTCAACTCTTCTCATGATTTTAGGTTCCAACAGTCAGAAACAGTTTTTCCTAAGGTTCTGATAAACTTCCAATTTATAGCATGGTTCTGGAACTCATAGCTGTATTTCTTAAGAGGGAAAAAGAAATATATAAATATATATATACATACACACACATATACATATATATACATACATACACACACACACACTTTGAAATATTTATCTGTGTGGCCTACAGAAGTCAGAAGAGTGTGTCAGATCCCTTGGAACTGGAGCCAGGTGGTTGTCAGCCATATGGTGATATAGGAACTGAACTCACATCCTTTGGAAGAGCAGAAAGTGCTCTTAACTGCTGAGCCATCCCACCAAAACTATAACTATATTATTTCTCCCCCACCCCTTCAATATTTAACTTATTTGTGTTGCTTGAGTGTGATGTGTATGTGCACAGCATGTGCCCAGTCCCCCCCCCCAATTATATTTCAAACCTGGCTATATTAACACAAAATAGTGGCCGGTTCTTTTCTTTAATACTACTATTGTTGAACAGTGCTTTACTGTTGTCTTTGTTTATTTCCCTTAAATTGAACCTTCTGAGAGTCTGATGACATCTCTTCCTCCCCCATGTGACAAGTGCCCTGTGTCATGGGCATTACTGTGTATTATTAAAAATGTCACAGGTCTCTCCGGTCTAGTTTGCTTTCTGTTTTTAATTGGAAAGATGAGAGTTATTTTGTCGACAGCTTAATTGGAAGCAGCAAAGACTGTTTATGGAGGATTCTGGTGTAATACCTGATTTTAATCACAAAAGAGGTGGTGTCTACTGGTGGCAGTTATATGTGTAAGGGGAATGAGAGTGTGGCCTGTTTGAGGGCAAGTATTCTTATAACTGGGTTTCTGAAACTTGGGCTCTGATGCTAACCTATATTTAGTTAATTTTACACTATATACCTTAATGTTATGTTTCTTAAAGATACGGTGCTAGAGATGCTAGTAAGTGCTACTGAGAAACAACTGGAGGCCATCGCTCCCCTCCTTTCTTCATTATATTAACAGGTTGGCCTTAAATTTGGGTTGGGCTTAAGCCATTTTCCTGCCTCGATCCTCTTCTAGGTGCGTGTTCCCCAAGCCCCAAGCATTACTGTTTCTTTTTCTTTCTTTTGTGTGTTTGTGTTTGTGGCACACATGAGTGTGTGCAAGGTGTGGGTAGTATTTCAAGACAGAGCTTCTTAGTATAACAGCAGCCCTGGCTAGACCAGGCTAGCCTCAAACTCACAGATCTGCCTGCTTGTGCCACTGAATATTGGCACAAAGAAAGTTCTTTTTGTGAGCCAGGCGGTGGTAGAGAACACCCATAATCTCTGTACGGGGGAGGCAGAAGTAGGTAGATCTCTGTGTTCAAGGTCTACAGAGCAAGTTTCACAGGCTCCAAAGCTCTGTGAGAAGCCCTGTCTCAGAGAAAAAGAAAGAAAAAGAAAAAATTTTTTACCTGATTGGTTCTTTCCCTTTTAGCTTATTACAGTTGATTATATTCTCTTTTTTGCTTACCTACATGAAGGAAACATGAGTTTAGATTTAAAAGATTTTAGGTCCTTTTTTGAACATCAGAGTCAACAAATTTATAGATTAGGGCATTTATCAGAGTGACTCTGTCTTAAATGTGTTTGTTGTTTGTTTCTTAGCTGCATTTCCCCCCTAATTTGTTATGTTCTAAAGTTCCCCCACCCTAGGCAAATGTCATGGTTGTTTGTTATGGCTTGTAAATACCTAATTGCCTTTCTTTGTTCTTTTGATGATTTGTAGCCTAGATTTATTAAGCTTACCTGTTTATGTATTTTGTTAGGATCTAATTTTGATTTTTCAGGTGAGATTATTTACCACTTCCTCTGCTGCTAGAGAATCCATCCTTCTAGTCACTTTTTAAAAAATTATTTTTTACTTTTTGAAATGAGTGCTTGCCTGTATATATGTATGCTTGGCACCTTGGAGGCCAGAAGAGGGGATTGATCCCCTGGAAACTGGAGTTACAGGTAACTGTGGTCTGCCATGTGAATGTTGGGAATAGAACTTACTTCTGGAAGAGGAGCAGCTGGTGATCTTAACCACTATGCTATCTTTCGAGCCCCCTTCCTCTTTTATCTCTTTAATATACATGTTTGGGTACATTAGAATCATTACATTGTAAAGATTTTGCTGTATTTAGATCACTTTTGAATTCATTTGCCAATAAATTTGTTGACATTAGAAATTTCTTAGTTGAAAGATTGAGATTTTAGTTTTAACCTTTATTGTAAAAGTTGCTGCTTTTCTTTTATTAGGGCTTTCAGAACTGTTTTTCAGTTTCAAAATAACAATTGTGAGTTTCAAGGACAGGTTGTGTTTGGAGCATGTTCTTAGAATTTAAAGTTCTTGCTTGATATTTGAGACAGGCTGTGTGTAACTCAGATTGGGCTCCAGTTTGGCCATTCTCTAACCTCAGTAGGATTAAGGTGTGCCACCATGGTCAGCTTTTTTCATCTTCGCTATTAAAGGAAAAAGCACTATAATTCTGCCACTCTTGAGCAGTTTGTTTCACTAACATTGTTGGCTATTCTTTGTTCCTTTCTTGTCCTCTTTTATTTAAATGCACTTTGTATGTGTTGACAGCTTGCCCAATTTTCCTTTGACCCTCTGACTGGAGATTCAAATTGTAGATAATCCCTGTTAGAATGATTATTAAAGGAGAAGGAACAATTTAAAGAGAAGACCTTCATCTTGTGTCCCCAGACTTACTTCCTTCATGACTCTTCCAAAGATCTAGCTTGAAACTTGACTTCCAGGCTCAGCTTTGGAACAAATCCTGATCATTCTTAAGTGATGGTAACTTTAGCATCTCTTTGATTTGGGGTATCCATGTATAAAATTGGCTCAATAGTTTTTTCTTAATGCAATGTTGATATAAAAGATGGGAAAGTCAGATTTTTGGAGCACTTTTTAGTTTGATTGTATTGGGCCATTGGGGTAGCTGATTTTTTTTAGTTACTTGGCAGTGGATTAAATCTCTCCTTTATGAGCAAGAGTAGAATTTTTAAACAGTAAGCTGGTATTGATAGCTATAATATTTCTTCTTCATCTGGTTACCCTTTGCTTGAAATTGGGTCATTTATACAGGGTCTGTATGTTGGGCTTCTCCCTTCCCCAAAGAAAGTCTTTTTGACAAATTTTCACAAACCAAGAGTTGTTTAGGTAAAGCTATTGCTGTGACCAGAGGCTGGGGTAGGGGTTTGGCCTATTACTTCGTGATAGCAACCCTTCTTGCGTCTGTTTCTTCAAGGCAAACGAATGCACGTGCAGTTGTCCACCAGCCGGCTTAGGACTGCGCCCGGGATGGGAGACCAGAGCGGCTGCTATCGGTGCGGGAAAGAGGGCCATTGGTCCAAAGAGTGTCCAATAGATCGTTCGGGCCGCGTGGCAGACTTGACTGAGCAGTATAATGAGCAATATGGAGCAGTGCGTACGCCTTACACCATGAGTTATGGGGATTCATTGTATTACAACAACACATACGGAGCGCTCGATGCCTACTACAAGCGCTGCCGTGCTGCCCGGTCCTATGAGGCAGTGGCAGCTGCAGCTGCCTCTGCATATAACTATGCAGAGCAGACTCTGTCCCAGCTGCCACAAGTTCAGAACACAGCCATGGCCAGTCACCTCACCTCCACCTCTCTCGATCCCTACAATAGACATCTGTTGCCGCCTTCAGGAGCTGCTGCAGCAGCAGCAGCTGCTGCTGCTTGTACTGCAGCTTCTACTTCATATTACGGGCGGGATCGGAGCCCCCTGCGTCGCGCTACAGGCCCAGTCCCCACTGTTGGAGAGGGCTACGGTTACGGGCATGACAGTGAGTTGTCCCAAGCTTCAGCAGCCATGCGGAATTCCCTGTACGACATGGCCCGGTATGAGCGGGAGCAGTATGCGGATCGGGCACGGTACTCAGCCTTTTAAAGTTTGAGGTGAGAGTGGGGGGTGTCCTCTGTCGGTTTTGCCATCCCTCCTGAGGCTTCAGAAGGCTCCTGTTAGTCTGCTCTGCTTGCTTGCCTTCTGTAGGGCTAATGTGAGGTTACTAGCATGGTTCAGTTTGTAGACAAGTCCTTAAATGCTAAAGCGTGAAGTAAACATCCTTTGTTCTTGTGCCTGTTTTTCCAGGGCTTCTAATAATGGGAGTCATTCTCATTGTATTTGTGTCTGGAACAGCAAACAATGGTGTACTGGTGAATCTTGGGTCAAATCTGTGTGCTGTAATTGACCCGGGATCCAGACATTCAGACTTAGGTGAGCTGCTTCTCAGAGTCTGTCGAGTTTCTTAGCTGTGTGGCACTAGTTTTGTTGAGTTTGCTGTATTTCATTATGCTGTGAAAGGGTTTGATAGGACCACTAATATAAAGTTCATAACTAGTTAACTGATTATTATTGTTCAAATCCTATGAAGACCCACAAAGTGGCATCATCTTAATCTTGAAGAATATTTCTCAAAGGTTTCTGTTTTAGACATTTAAAGAACTTAGTGATAAATTGAGGCTGAGAATAGTAGAAAACATTTCTCACAGAGTAAGGAAGTCTGGCATGAACTTCAAAGTCCAATATAGCTGCCCAGTCCAGTTTCATGTCCTTAAAAGTCCAGTTTTGTTATCTTTTATTCTATTGTGTTGTCTCTTATTTTATTCAGGGTTTTAATTTTTGACCTTGGGTTCCACATCGTTGGATTAGGGTAATGTGGTGGTGTTTAAGTGTACATGGATACCTGTGTTTATCCCTTGGTAATAGTGACTTCTAGGTTTAGGAACTTTACCATGAGCACATCATTTCCTCATCTTCCCATTAGTTAAGGACATTTAATACTCAACAACTTTATCTGAATCCGTTTGACTGTGACAGTCTCGCTTACAGTCTAAATTGACCTTGAACTTCTGCAATTGTGCTTCAACCCTAAGTGCTGAGATAGGTGTTTACCACCATGGTGGTGCTTCTGTTTTGAATACATCCTCTTTTGATGTTTCTTGTCAGCTTTGGGCTTTAGGGTTGTTGTACTTGGGGTACTTTTCAGTTCTTTTAGTTTTAAGGAGCCCTACTGTGTTCCTGACTTTGTCATAGAGCCTTAATCTTGTATACAAGTACTTTGACGTCTTTCAAGTTAAGGCAAAAATTATGTGGCTTGCCCAGGTCCATTGGCTGATCTAAATGACTGATTGGGGTTTGTAGACGTGGATTGTGCTGGACGAGAAACTTGAGTGACTTGATGTAGCTTACACATTCTCCAGTGTCTTCTTTTAAAAGTTTGATATGTAAATCTTCAAACTTGTTCAGTTGATGCAACTTTTTTCTAGTTCTTGAATGATACTGTGTCCTTGGCAGTAATTCATAGATTGAAACATACTGTTGACTTTTTACCTCAGAGGCTAATTGGAACTTTCCTGTTTTTCTCTTCTCTGAGTTTGTGGAATTAACTTCTCTTGAGAATGTTAATAATGTTAACATTGAAAGTAATAGAATGTCTTCACTAACTATCATGAAAAATTTGCTGTTTAATTTGGAGAAAGGCCTTAACTGGGGGACTGCTTAGCCTTCCCAATGACTCTCTGACCTTCAGACTATTCTCATTTTTAGAAATTATGTTAATACTAGGGAAGGGTTCAAGTGAATAAAAGTGAGTACGACTTTGTAAGATGTTCTTTGAAGTTTCTAAGTGGGAAAGCACTTTTGAGCTTTGCTGTAAAGCCCCTGTACTGTGCTCTCTTTCAGGTGGGATGTGTGTGGGCTGAAATTCCGAGCTGCGGTTGTGCATGAGAATACACCCTTCGTGGTACCCCATCTCCGGGACGTTCTCGGCTCTGTGCGTTCAGTCCCTCAGGAACCATGGACCTTAATTTACCTTGTTAAGTTCAGACATTCTTTTTCCTATTCTCCCTCCTGCTCAATTTCCTGTTCTGTTTATTCTTCTGTAGCTTTCCATTCATGTTCTGTTCTCCCAGCATGCCTCCTCTGCAGAAACTGGTGGTGGCTGTGCTGTCTTTTCCCTGCCTCCTGACTGTAGTGGGTATTGGATTTGGGAATGACCTTGCTGAGAATCACTGCTACAGGTTTTCTATTTTGGCCCAAAGGCTAGTCCTAGAGTTTTGGATCCCTTTCCAGTGAAATAAATGGTTTTTCAAATTAGGGTATGTGTGCTTTGAGAAAGTTCTTATTTGGACTAGTTTCTGGGTTCTTTGTTTATTTGTGCCTTGAACAGAAGGTGGGACGTGTTTAAAGTTTAAGCTACTTAGCTTTGGATGAGTAACACTGTAGGGGTTTTTAAATTTTAAAAAATACTAGATAGGACCTTTAGGTAATAAAGGGAAAAGAGGTATGCAGAAGAACTCAAGTAGGCATCCTTGTTTCAGTGAAGACATTTCTACTGTTCACTTTTTGTTATAAAGCCAACTAGCTAGTTACTTGCTTTGAGAAGTAATCATTGTGTATACTTGCAGCTGCTTTTAACACTCAGTCAATAGATCTCCCTTGACTTATTTCCAAGGAAGAGGTGAAGGTTTGAGGGAAAATGGGTAGCTTTCATCTTTGGGGAAAATGATGGTATGGCTTCCACCAGAGTGCATTTTGCTACTTCATGGACCAGTGCTACTTTGTGGTGCATTTCACAGTTCATATGGTTCTGCCAAAATCAAAAGTCTACAAGAGTAGTTCCACAAGCATCTCATAGCTTGTATTTAATGACTTTAGATGAGAGGTACAAAAGGCCCAGCAGCTCCTTTATAAGCCATAGATAAACTTAATATCAACAGTTAGGACAAGTGTTTGAATGCATTGAGGAGCCAGCCATTGCTTTAGTGTTATGTTTTTATTAAAACAGTTTGCCTTCCATGTTTCAGCATATATAGGGTCATGTTTCAGAATCATTTACTTGGCCAGTGCTGAGTACTGTTACACCAGGCATGCTTTTAGTAAAGGGGTCAGAATGATAGGAAATAAAGCTGATAACTGCTTTTATTCCATTGATTCATTCTAATTTATAGATGGCTGGGATTGTGACAGCACTCTGTGGACAAAGGTAATTTTTTGTTATGTGAGACCTTGTGTTGCTCATCAGTCTTTATAGGAAAAGTTTTTCTTAGCAAATTTTTTCCTTCTGGGCTTAATTGTTTTCTTTGCCACTGTTGCCTGTTTTAAGGTTCATAGGTATTCTGGTTCCTTTTCCTGTAATGAATAGATCCAATTACTGTTGTGCACATAGCGTTTTAGCACAATTTTTTGATGTGAAGGTTGGGAATAGCAAGCCTCAAGATGGAGACTTATATTTGTTGATTCAACAGATTTGAGGATATTTTCACAGATGGTGACCAGGTGTTGGGGATTTGAGAGCTTTTTTTTGTAGGATGGGATATGAGGCAGAAATAAAAGACATCAAGCCAGGCTTTGTGGCATGTTCATTTAATGTTAGCTCTTAGTACTTGTATCTGGGTGTCATGGCACACACGTCTTTTATCCCAGCACTTGGGAGGCAGAGACAGATGGATCTCAGAATTCAAGACCAGCCTGGTTTACATAGCGAATTCCAGCAGAGTCAGAGAGTTTGAGGAGAGTGAGACCCACCTCAAAAATGAAGTAAAATTGTATATCAAGTGGAGGTTCCTGTCTAAATGGTTTCCTTGTTTTTATTAACTTGTTAGAGTAGACCTGGGTGACTTTCTTCCCCCCTCCCCCCCCCCATGTTGCACAAGTAGTTCTCCTGCCTCACCTTCTGCATAGTTGGGGCTAAAGGTGTACACAATACTCTGTGCTCTACTTTTACATTATTAGAACATGCAGAGCGATTAGAATTTACTTGATTCATCTTAATTGTTTTAAGAGACTGGTTCCTATAACAGCCTAGCTGATGAAAACATTATTTTCATCACTCAGTCTATGCTGGCTCAGAGCTATTTTTCTTTTTTTTAAATAAAAGATGTGCTTTTGCTATATACACACCCAGACTGGCTTTGAACTTGCTTTAGATGTTATTGCCAAGCCTAATGACCTGGGACCCACATTGTGGAGAACCAACTCCTACATGTTGACTTCTGACATTCATATGTGTACTTTGGTACACATGCATGCACACATGGGTAAAAAGCTATTAGCTGAGCATGATGACATACTGTTATAATCTCAGTATGTAATCTCTTGAAAGCTGAAATGATTCAGAAACTCTGAATTGCTGCATACTATGATTCAAACAAAAATCTATTCATTGAATTGCTGGAAAACTCTTAGGAAGTATAATGGGAAAATAGTGAATTGAAAATTACAAGTCAGGACTGCTGATGTAGCTCTGTTGATAACATACTTGCTTCTCATGCCCAAAGCCCTTGGCCCTGATCTTTAGCACTGCAGAAGACTGTGTGATAGTGCATTTAGGTAGTCTGGCACTGGGGAGGTTGAGACAGGTCATTGCAGTTAGAGCAGTGTCAACCTTCCTAATGCTGTGGCACTTAATACAGTTCATGTTTTGGTGACCCCCCAACCATAAAAATAATTTTTCTACTGTTAAGAACTGTAGTGTGAATAATGATAGCAACCCCTGTGAAAGAGGCGTTGCAACCCAAAGGTTGAGAACCACTGAGTTAGAGGCTAACCCAAACTATGAGATCCTGCCTCAACAATTTGCAGAAACTGAATATAACTGATTTCCAGCAGTAGAGTGGTTTGAAATTATTTTGATCTTTTTTTTTTTTTTTAAATCATTTAACTTTATATGCATTGCAGTTATGAGCTGCCATGTGGGTGCTGGGAATTGAACTCAGGTCCTCTGGGAGAGTAGCCATGCTCTTAACCACTGAGATATCTCTCCAGCCCAATTATTTTGTTCTAAGTTTCCAGTCAAGTGAGTAAGCATTCCATTGTTGTGTAAACAGTACTGATATCACTTACCTTAGAAGTCTGTCTTAAGAAAAATAATTCAATGTTAAACACATTTTCCTTAGAACTCTACTGTTCATTTGTTCACTGACACAACTAGCATCTGTGAGCTGGTGTTACACTTCACTGATTACTCCTTAATCGTTTACCTGGTGTGGGGTATGTGGTGAATGCATAACAATAGGGCAACAAGCCTAATCTCACTTTGCCTCCTTTAGCTGTTGTGTGTCCCCTCCCCCAGTTTCCAGTCTTGGGTATCCAGATATTTGGCCTTTCCTTTGGAGGGGGAAGGGTGATTGGAGTGGTCACACTCATTTTGTATTGTCGGTATGATCCTTCTGGTTCTAAGCGGATCATAGGTCCTACAAGGGTGGTCAAGGATTTCTCAAGTAGTGGTAGACATTTTGATTTTGGAACTAAGGCATCTTCTCAGGGCCTCATGAAAACTTGAGAATATACTCTTACTCTGAGGTATGTATCTGGGTTGACTTGGATCATGCAGAGTTCAATCCTCTTTACCCTAGTGCATTAACTAATGTATACTTTAGGAGGAGGGAATAATGAGAGATGTAGATCACAGGTGCTATGGGAATTAAGTGCTGTTTCCAGTTGTTGGAATCAGTTTTCTCAGCTCTCTTTATGCATGAGATAAAGATTGATTTCCCAGAATGATGGTAGTGCAGTCCCATGACTATTCTCTGGTGTGTTTAGAGAATAAGTAGGCTGGGTTGAAGCAAGAGCAAGAGGATGACTGAATTCTAGCCAGTTTGGACTTTGTAGTACATAGTGATTGAGTTTTCAGGCCAGTCTAGACTATATAGAGAGGCAGCTGTAATAGTGGTTTGTCTTAGTTTGAAGTAATACTGCAAAGTGCCATAAATAAACTGGTATATACACAACAGAAATTGATAATAGTTTTTGAAATTGAAAAGTCAAAAGCTTATAAAACCAGCAGATAGCAAGCTGGATGGTGGTGGCACACACCTTTAATCAATGTGGGAGACAGAGGCAGGTGGATCTTTGTGAGTTAGAGGCCAGCCTGGTCTTACAAGTTCCTGGACAGCAAGAACTGTGCATACCTTGATTGGTATTTCAGTGTAGGCTAGAGATGACACAACACATTAAATCCATAGCAGTGTCCTACTGTTTAACAGGTGGCACCATTTGAATATTTTTGCCGTCCAACTGATGATACTTGCATTGGGAGGTGTGTATAACAGCAATACTCTGTTATTTTACATACTAGAAAATGGGAGATAAACTGGTATGGTTGTGCATAACTTTGATCCCAGCACTTGGGAGGCAAAGGCAGGTGGATCTCAGTGAGTTTAAGGCCAGCCTGGTCTAGATAGTGAGTTCTAGGACAGCCAGAGCTATGTAGAGAAACCCTAAAAAAGATAGTGGAAAGTGCCAAATGGCAAGTTATGAACATCCTATTCAGAAACATGAAAGGAACAGCTAAAGATACAGAAGCAGTTGGTTCTGGAGAGGGAAGAGGGGTACTTTGAAAGTTTCAGATATGTTTGTTAAACCATATTTTGCACTTATTGGTAAGAATAAATGGTCTAGTCACACTTGCACCAAATCCTTAAGTTGGCTGATAATGCCTTTGAGAACATGCACATCTTGTGACAAGAATGACTTTCTATCAGGCAAGTAGTATGCCTGAAAAGTAATGATGATGCCCTCTGTAGTGATGAGCTAAGATATTTCTTTGGGATAAGGATACCCTCTTGGGTTCTTCTGTATAGGACTGAGTGGTAAGTGAACTTCAAAAGTTGAATTGAGTTTTGCCTAAGTTGTCAAGTCAACTAAGTGCTAAGAGTGTGCCTGAATTTCCTTTAGTTCTTCTGTATCTAACATGCTTAATTGCCTTCAGGTATGCAACAAGGTGGAACCACACAATTTTACAATATAAGGACTATTGACACCAAGCTTAGAAACGATCAGCAGTACAGAATTTAGTACAAAACTATAGTATAGAACTTCTAAACTGTTCTATCCATGGTATGGAAAAGGGAAGGAAAATGGCTTTTACTTGCTGACTTCAACTAAATTAGAACATTATGATATACTTAAAGATTTGTAACAGCTTAAAGAAACAGTGTACAACAAGAAATTTTTGCTGGAAGGTAGAGACATGGTGATGGCTGCAAGTTTGAAACTGGCCTGCTTCATAGCAAGTTTTAGAGCTACATATCAAGATCCTGTCTCTGGAAACAAAAACACCGAAGTTTTGTTTTGTTTCTTTAAATCCCAGCATG